GCTTCGCAATTACTCAAACCCACACTATTTGCAGATGACACTACATACGTTTCCTCTCACACGAGCCCAGTCATGCTAGCCAGTACTGTAAATACCTAATTACAGAAAATATCTACCTGGATGAGGACTAACAAACTTACACTAAACATTGACAAGACCTACTTCATTCAGTTTGGTAACAGAGCTACAGATGTCCCTCTTAACATAATGATAAACGAATCACCTATCACAAAGCTAACAGAGGGAAAATTCTTAGGAATCCACCTTGATAATAGACTCAAATTTCATACACATATACAACAAATTTCTAAGAAAATTTCCAAGACTGTAGGCATACTATCGAAGATACGGTACTATGTTCCACAGTCAGCCCTCCTGGCCCTATATCACTCTCTTATTTACCCCTATCTTACCTATGGAATTTGTGCATGGGGCTCAACAACAATTAACCATCTCGACCACTAATTACCCAACAAAAGGCTGCAGTTAGAATGATAACAAATTCTCACTACAGGCAGCACACTCCACCAATATTCAATACACTAAACCTACTCACCATACAAAACATCCATACTTATTACTGCACCTATTACATACATAGAACACTTAACTCTGATATTAACCCTCCCCTCAAACATCTCCTTGCCAACCTCAACAGAACACATGACCATAACACAAGGCACAGATCACTCTTTGATGTTCCTCGTGTCCATCTCACGCTATGCAAAAAACTCAATGCACATAAAGGCCCTAAAATCTGGAATTCATTACCTGTAAATATAAAAGAAACACTACCTGTTTATAAATTCAAGTCTCTTCTCAAAGAATCACTTACTCACCCAAAACCAAATAAATACTGAATAACTGAACCTTATAAATTGTATATCTTAATGTTTCTCACAATTATATCACATAAATGTTAAACCTAAAACCGAATCTAACTTTATTATTTTTTAAATACACTACCTAACAGAATACTTCATACGACTGAATGTACAACAATGCATGCAACCATATGACCTGTCTTTGTAATACTCACTTGTGCTTTATAGTAATCTGTTTACATTAATGTTTTATCACTGATTTCATCATTGCTTAGTTAATCTTAAGTTAATTTTAAGCCAGCCCGTAATGCTATGCATAGTATAAGTGGCTTTGGCATGCTGCTCTTATCTGTATTTTTTTGTACCTCTGTATGTGTGCTCAAATTGGAAATAAATAACTAAATACATAAATAAATAAATAAAGTGACACGAGTGATATTGAAGACACTGACCGAGTAATGCAAAAAGAAATTGTAGTAAGACCCACTAGGAAAACAGCAGCGCAATCTAGAGAGGGCTGGAATCGTCTCCTGGAGGAAGACGCAATTTAAGTCGTCTAACAAAGACTTCCGCCCGGCCGCAGTGTGGAAATGATTTAATTTCCGAAGCTATAGTGCCTAATAAGTGTTTAATGTGTTGATTTGGGTCAAAAATGTATTTGTATTTTGAATGGAACCAACTGGGTTCCCGCTGCGCCTGCGTAGATGTGCGGGGGTATAGGTCGAACTGGTGCACGGGGGGGCGGCAGTGTTTTGAATGTAGTGAGGAGGCTGTGAAAACATGGGATCAGGAAATTGGCATTCACGGCGGCCTAAGGATTAATATAGGCCTCACTTCCTAATAGGAAGCGTCGTAACTGTTCCTGGTGAAGAGTGAGGGAACGTGATTTACATGACCACCGTAATAAAGTGGTAAAATGAGTGGATACTAGTAGGACCAGGGTGACGGGTGTGTCGCCATGGAATGTGTCCAGGGAAAATTACCAGTGAGTTAATCCTCGCTCATCGGTCTCAGATCTTAATGGAGTGACCTTTAATGTGTATAATAATTATGAGACGTTAAATCGTCTTGTGAATGGTAATGTAATCAGTGATAATAACATTAAGTTAAGAGAATGCGGGAAGTGAAATAAATCGCCCTGCTCCGAGTGAATGCGTGGTTCTCATCCCGAGGATAACAAAGTTTTATGGAATCACGACTTCTAAATTGGGACAAACCAACGGATACCTCGTCCTGCTGGAATAAGAACCGTGTCGTTGTAGCAGGACATCGAAATGAGATGGTGAATGGAGGAAATAGGGAGCATCAATCACCCACAGTTAAGTAACCTTTCTAGTTATAGCAGACTGATACTGGCCAGTTAGGTATGTTTTAATTGGATAGGTTATGGGTGATCCAGCCACATCAAGTGACCACCAGAGAATATCTGGTAAGTGGTGGGATTATGTACAAATGTTTTTCCTTGATGGATGTATCCATGTGTAACCTACCCCCCCCCCCCCTTCATTCAGTTAAACTAATATAATCTATACAGTCCACAATTAATTAGTAGCGCCGTACTTGAGGGTGCTACCCAATTTATACTGGTCTCGTATAGATATGGATAAGATTGTGAGGGTCAAGGGGCCACCTGTAGTGACCAGAGGTGGTTAAGTTTTCTCACGTCTACACGAGTGACTACGGTAAACAATATAGTTGTTGTCTCCCAAGGAGATTACTCATATGCATGTAATGTTGAGGTATGTAAAAGTAATCACCCCTATAAAATTTTCCATAGGGATGTTAGGAAATATTTCTCCAGCCACAGAGTTGTTAGGAAGTGGAATAGTCTGGCAAGTGATGTAGTGGAGGCATGAACCATACATAGTTTTAAAATGAGGTATGATAATGCTCATTGAGCAGGGAGAGGGAGGGCCTAGTAGCAGTCAGTGAAGAGGCAGGGCCAGGAGCTGAGTCTCGACCCCTGCAACCACAATTAGCTGAGTACAATAACAGCCTCACTATGAGCATTTCCTCTGCCACTCTTACACCTCCTTCATTCACAGAGATTAACCAATTATTCTTTGCTTCTCCATCCTCTTCCCATCATTCTAATACCATAGAAGTCAACAAAATGCCCAGTATTTATAATGCCCGGAGTATACCTGGCAAGGGTCTCGGGGGTCAATGCCCCCGCAGCTCAGTCTGTGACCAGGCCTCATGGTTGATCAGGGTCTGATCAAACAGCTGTTACTGTTGGCCGCATGCAATCTGACGTACGAACCACAGCCCGGAGAGTCATGTACTGACTTCAGGTGCCTGTCCAGTGCCTTCTTGGAGACAGCCAGGGGTCTTGAAGACAGCCAGGGATCTTGAAGACAACCAGGGGTCTTGAAGACAGCCAGGGGTCTTGATGACAGCCAGGGGTCTCGAAAACAACCAGGGGTCTTGAAGACAGCCAGGGGTCTTGAAGACAGCCAGGGGTCTTGAAGGCAGCCAGGGGTCTTGAAGACAGCCAGGGGTCTTGAAGTCAGTTGGGGATCTATTGGTAATCCCCCTTATGTAAGCTGGGAGGCAATTAAATTTTAAATTGAAACGGAAAATGTTTTTTTCCCTTGAAAAAGCCTACAATGTTGGTTTCATATCATAAGAATTAATTAAAAAAAGCCACTAGATGCGAGGCATATCGGGTTTTGCTTTTTCCCCCAAAGCACACTATTCTGCATTTCCTGCCGAGTCTTTGCCCTTTTATATGGGGTGATTTTCGTGTGCAGGGGTTTGGGACCAATCCCTTCAGGGCCCCCAAGTGTATATTTTCATGCATCTTTTTCGCCTGGTTCCAGAGAAAACGATCTGGACCTTCAACCCTTCCCATAATTTTTGGTGCCTTACGTATTTTGGGCCGCAAACAGCCTGGTTGATCAAACCCCGATCCACCCTGAGGCCTGGGCTCAACCGGGGATGGGAGTGTTTACCCCTGAAAACCTCTCTAGTAACTCCGGTAGTATGCCGTGAATTTTATTAATCGGGGGGGGAACGCTAAACCCAAGGATTATACAGCGCCTGGGGGGGGGGATGTGAAGGCATTCAGGGTTTAATTCGGGGAACTGGAGCACAGATCCCAATTTCCTAAATCAAGAGCCCCTCACCCAAAATCAAAGGGAAACCTTTTTTGAGGGGTGTATGCCCTAAAATTTTTTGTACCTCTCCAATCTCAATGTCGCCAGCCCTTTAAGGGGCCCTTAGTGTACGCAGTATTCCAGCCCCCCAGAGAGAACAAGCAATTTGAAGATAATCTTTTTGGGCTTTTCTCCCAGTTTTGAAAGGTTTTCATTATCCATCCACATTTTCCTAGTGGTGAGGTATTTAAATATCGTTTCATTTTTTCAGTCAGCAATATTAGCTTTCACGAGGCACATGACATTATGTATTTAAGGGAACAAATATTTCCTTGAATTTCAGATTTTAAACTTTCCAAACCTCTATTAACTTCAATGCTTCTTTTGTGTTTGTTTTTTTGATTAGCTAACATTGTCAAAAATAAGTTAATTAAAAAAAAGAACCCCTTTCAATCATTATTAGTAATTTTTTTTCTTAACACATCAGCCGTTTCCCACCAAGGCAGGGTGGCCCGAAAAAGAAGACACACTTTCATAAGCATTCACTCCATCACTGTCTTGCCAGAGGTGTGCTTACACTAGTTATAAAACTGCAACATTAACACCCCTCCTTCAGACTGCAAGCACTGTACTTCCCATCTCCAGGACTCAAGTCTGGTCTGCAGGTTTCCCTGAATCCCTTCATAAATGTCACCTTGCTCATACTCCAACAGCACATCAACTCCTAAAATCCATTTGTCTCCACTCGCTCATATCTACCATGCTCATGCGTGCTCGCTGGAAGTCCAAGCCCCTCAGACACAAAACCTCATTTACCCCCCTTCCAACTTTTCCTAGGCTGACCCCTACCCTGCCTTCTATCTACTACAGCTTTATACACTCTCCAAGTTATTCTATTTCATTCCACCCTCTCTACATGCCCAAACCATCTCAACAACCTCTCCTCCTCCCTCTGGATAACAATTTTAGTAACCCCGCACCTCCTCCTAATTTGTAACAATGGTGGTAGAATTACCAAAAATATGCTAGTTATAAGGACACAAGTGCAACTAATGCAACATTGTTATTGTGGCAACAGGTTGACAAAATTCCTAAAGAGAAAAGGGCTACCACGATAAAAATGCCGCATTAGTTGTACATGTGTTCTTTTACCTAACAAACTGTTATTTATTTTAAGAAGCAAGCGGTGATAAAATTGCAAAATTAGTTATTTGTACATTTTTATTCTGCTTTTACAGTTTGTTTTTAAGAACTATCAAGTCAGATACATACACACAACTTCTTCCACTAACAAATCAGTTGTGTTTCTGATTTGTCAATTTACAAATGAGCTGTATGTGAATTTTGTGTTGCACACAACAGTGAAGAAAAGGCACACATTACAGAACAAAGTTTCCTCTCTGTGTAGAGCTTTATCAAGTAATGACTTGATAAAACTCTACACAGAGCTTTATCAAGTCACTACTTGATAAAACTCTACACAAAACAAATTGTATTATTTGTATAAAAAATAACAGTACAAAGGTCGTATGCTTTTTAATTATATTTCCAAAGTACCCTAACTGTAGGGGCCGTATAGCACCTGGAGAATGGGAGGCATTCAGGTCAATCCACAGAAGGGGAGGTCGAATCCAGTTCCTTGGATCAAGAGTCATAAGCACCATGTAAAGTGCAGAAGTGTATAACTTGAGGCAACTGTAAGTTGTAGACCACTATATTGTGTCTCAGACACTTTACACTGGGGTATCCCTGCTAGAACTGCTGTCATCGGAAGTTTTACAAACTGGTTTTTTCCTGAAGTCTTTTAGACACTGGATATTATGTTTTTCCTCCTCTGTATGAATTCTCATATGGTACAATAGATTGGTTTTGTTCAAAAAGCCTTTTCGACATTTATAACAATGGAATGGCTGTTCCTTTTGTCTGCCATGAATTTTCACATGCTTCACTAAATCATTTTTCCGTAAAAAGCGTTTTGGACACAAAGGACAAACGTGGAGTTTTTCTTCCATGTGAATTTTCAAATGACCTATCAGATTTGCTCTTGTTAAGATGTCTTTGTGACACTCTGAACACCTATATGGTTTATGCTCTGTATGAACATACATGTGTTCAAGGAGTCTGCTGTGTTGTGCAAATGATCTCCAACACTCTGAACACTGATATGGTTTTACTCCTAAATGAGTTCTTTCATGTTTTACCTGAGCACTTCTGACAGAAAATGCTTTTGGACACTTGGAGCACAGATAGGGTTTTTCTCCTGTATGAATTCTCTTGTGTACAGTGACATAAGACCTATGTGCAAAGCTTTTTTGATATACTGGACACTGATATGGTCTTTCTCCTGTATGAATTCTATTATGATCTGCTAATGAGGATTTATTTGTAAAACTTTTTGGGCACTCAGAACACTGAAAAGGTCTCTCTCCAGTATGAAGTTTCTTATGTCTATTGAGAGTAGAATTACGTGAAAAAACTTTTAGACAGAGCAAACACTGAAGTGGCTTTTTTTTTGTATGCCCACTCATATTACGTTTTAGATTTCTCAAAAAAAAAATTGTTACTTTAAGATATTTGTAACACTGTTACGTTAATTGCCAGTTGTGTTAGCAAAGCATGATGTCTTTATTGACTGAAATTTTATTTGATAAAAATTAAATCAAATACTTGTTAGTGTTGTGTGCAAACATCCACAGGTTCATAGTATAGGCTCACACACCCAGAAATATTATATTCCTTCACTCCTATGTGGCTTTACATCATTCAAACATTTTAGAAGTTCCATCTGCATGGACCTTCACATAACTAATACAGTTTTATAAGAAAACTATTTACAACACAAAATAGTGAAATACTTTCTATCCATTGTTAAAAGTTTATATGATATCTCATTCCGTGTCTTTTCATTTTAGTATAACCTACAAACTTACTGGACAAATATGTAATTTCTATAATATTCAAATTCTCTTCTGATCAACCAGAAATTATTTTGCTAACATTTCTCACCATAAATAATGAAACTGTGCATAAATGTCTGATAGAGATGTAATCTTCCAGTAGGTGCTGAGGTAAATCATATAAAATTACATTTGACAATAGAAACTAATATGGTATCCGACTATAACTTAATGTACACTTTTATGTCAGTGTAAATATAATTTACATCTTACAGTATAACTTTGATCAACATATTTTTGGTTTAAGTATTATTATCAATTTTTTTTTTGATAATAGTAAATGGCTTCATAAGTGAGGTATATATTAAAGGTCAGTTTATTAATAAAAAAAAAAAAGATAACAAACGAGTCCAGAATACTTCAAGACGAGAAAATCAGATTTGCTATTTATTTGTATTTTAATTCACCAAGATTGATTAAGAACATGACGAACAGTGTGACGGATGGAACAAAGAAATAAAGAAATATGATGCCTGACAGCCATGTAAATTAACAAATGTAGGAGATTAAGTGTACAACATAATTTTAGTACAGTGCTTGATCAATTCTGTATTTTAAGAATCAAGAAGTTTGGATAAGTCAGTGAACTTACACACACACACACACACACACACACACACACACACACACACACACACACACACACACACACACACACACACACACACACACACACACACACACATGCTAAAGATACACTTGCAGTATTTACAACCATTAAGTGAACTTTAAAATGCTGAATCTTAAGTATTTACTACTGCATAGTACACTTTATGAAACTTAAGAATTGACACTATTTTGATTATTTCTCTCACTCAGTCAGGTTTAATAACAGTGAATGTTGGCAGTGTTTGTGTTGTACTGAACTTCCACTTCTACCTGTAAAACAGAAAGATAAACAACGAAAAGTTAAAACTTTTTCTAGGATATCTAAATAAAAAGATACTCTTGAAACTTTCCCTAAAGCAAAATGGTAATACGTATCTAAGTTATTTATATATGATATATATTTAACATATATTGAACATAGAAAAGAGTAAGGTGATGAGGGTATCAAATGATTTAGATAAAGAAAAATTGGATATCAAATTGGGGAGGAGGAGTATGGAAGAAGTGAATATTTTCAATATTTGGGAGTTGACGGGTCAGCAGATGGATTTAAGAAGGATGAGGTTAATCATAGAATTGATGAAGGAAAAAAGGTGAGTGGTGCATTGAGGTATATGTGGAGGCAAAAAACATTATCTATGGAGGCAAAGAAGGGAATGTATGAAAGTATAGTAGTACCAACACTCTTATATGGGTGTGAAGCTTGGGTTGTGAATGCTGCAGCAAGGAGACAGTTGGAGGCAGTGGAGATGTCCTGTCTAAGGGCAATGTGTGGTGTAAATATTATGCAGAAAATTTGGAGTGTGGAAATTAGGAGGTGTGGAGTTAATAAAAGTAATAGTCAGAGGGCTGAAGAGGGGTTGTTCAAGTGGTTTGGTCATTTAGAGAGAATGGATCAAAGTAAAATGACATGGAGAGCGCATAAATCTGTAAGGGAAGAGAGGCGGGGTAGAGATTGTCCTCGATAAGATTGGAGGGAGGGGGTAAAGGAGGTTTTGTGGGCGAGGGGCTTGGACTTCCAGCAAGCGTGTGTGAGCATGTGTGAGCGTGTTAGATAGGAGTGAATGGAGACGAATGGTATTTGGGACCTGACAAACTGTTGGAGTGTGAGCAGGGTAATATTTAGTGAAGGGATTCAGGGAAACCGGTTATTTTTATATAGCTGGACTTGAGTCCTGGAAATGGGAAGTACAATGACTGCACTTTAAAGGAGGGGTTTGGGATATTGGCAGTTTGGAGGGATATGTTGTGCATTTGTATATGTACAGTAGGGCCCCACTTTATGGCATTCCGCTAATACGGCGATGTCAAATTATGGCCAAAATTTGCTATACGGCAAGCGGTATTTCAAATACGGCGCACCCCACCGGGTTTGTTTACATTCTCCGTGACCACATCTATTATGTCAGGAAACTTTCCAAAATTTCAAGTGTTTTAAAGTTACTGCGTATTTTATATGTACTCTGATAATTATACTTGTGTACCTGTAACTAAATATACTTAAACACTGGTGTGCAGGTACACATTAAAATCATTAAGAGTCTCTCTACTCATGACGCCAATACCACGTAATAATAATCACTATTGGGCACACTAAATGTCTTATTTTACATTAATATAGGCATTTTCATTAATCCATCTATGATATTTTCCTCAAAATTATATATGAAACCAGTTACATAACATATAAACATGATACCTACACTCACAGAATAAAAATTGACGTAAATATGAGATTTGTTTACAAAGCAGCTGTGTAGGTAGTGTCGGAAGAATTACGTTTTCTCTAGTCAAACTGGGGGATAACTGTAGAAAAATATTCTTTTTGTATGACTTCACTTTATATATAGCAATTCACAACCCTTGTGGGTTTAGTGCTTTTTATTATGATAATAATAATAATAATATCTTCATTCACTCTGAAAATGGTGTGTTGCTGTTTGTTTATTCTGTACTAACTTGTACAACTTGTACACAATGTAAGAGTATTTGTGTTGTGAGGTAATTATTATTATAATAAAAAAATATTGAGGTAAATGTTTTACAAACTCTTTCAAACGTATGTGAATGAACTAAAAGTAGACACACATTAATACGCATTTATTATGCCTGACCAAGTGATCGCCCACTACCTGTTCAGTCTGTGTTCTTACATTGTCTGAACTCTGTATCTCGTTCTCTCTCTCGTTTACTTTTTCATTAACTAGTTGGCTCTCATTGACGATGGCGTCTAAGTTTAGCTGTGATAAAAAGAGGAGTCGTAAGCCTCTTGCTTTAGGTGCCAATTTAGAGGATGATGGTGTGCCATTCTAATTTTATTCAATAAACACCTTGCAACTCACCTCTCACATATTAATATTTTAAGGCAAGTAACAAGTGCACTCTGTGTGTATCTTACCTTTTATTGTGTTTTTAATGCCTATTTCTATTGCTAATTTAATATAAGTTAGTGTAAACTTGTTGTCTGGCATTTATTGCATATTTTATATGTGCTCTGATAATAATACTTGTGGAGCTGTGTGGTAGCCGGCCGGAGGGACAACATTACGTTTTCTCTGCTCAGCCA